GGAAAGACTTGCTGTGAACACAATGGAAAAAAGGCCCATCGAAATGAGAAATATGAGGACCGATAATGGAGACCAAAGTGAACCCAGGAAAAGTCAGTCTGTGAGGACAGTGGGCTCTCCGTATGTGATTTTGCAGAGATCCTTGTGATGCCTAAGAGGCTTGGTTATCAAGAGAGATTTAATTCTTAGTTACAAAGTAACTCAGGTTAATTTTATTTATTTCCTTAAAAAATGTATTCAAATATGATCATGTATAGAGAGGATGCAAATGAATATTATTTAGCCATAAACATAGTCTATTACAAATTATAGTCCAGAGTCAAAGACAACTTTAAAAATCACAAACTTCACTATGATTTCACTTTATCTATATATTTATATATATTTATGAAATGGTTAGAGCCACAAAGAGTAATCTTAGATAGTTTGTCAAAGACAGACTAGTAGAAAACAAATTAGAGATGATGATTAAAGATTATGTCTAGAGTAGGGCATTATAGATGATTAATAATTTGTAATAAGTTGGTTTATTTTTCCAATCATTTTCCCACTTATAGGTATCATACATATCCATACATGTAGCATATATTTAGCATAACTTTATACTGTGTTGCATTTAAATAAAACAATCATATTTATAAGTTATTATGCATTCACCTAAATCATTACTTTATGGCCAAATTTGCATTATGGATTTCCAAGCTATTCCTCAACTGTTTGTTATTTTAACAATTTTCATTTTTCTCTCATAAAGAATTCCACAAAGAATATCTTTGTCACAAAATTTCCATCTCTCCTAACTTTTCCCTGAAAAATGATCTATCGCAGTTTTAAGGCTCTGAATGTACTTTGTACTGTACCTTTGCTAAAATAGACAACAATGTTTTCCTTAATTTGGTTAATTTAGTAGGTTTGTAAAATAGATATCTCGATGCTTTGACTATCAAGTATATGCTCCATATGTACAATGAAGCCTTGAGGCAGGTATTAAATGCTCATGTCTGTTTTGTGAATCTAGATGGCAGGTGTACAAAAGCACAGAGTAAGTCAAATGTTTGCAAAGCACATCGTGTACCAAGAGTTTAAATATATATATATTTCTTGTCCCAGTCATCTCTCTTATGATAGCCAAGCCTCACAATTTAATGACACAAATGATAAGCTTTGTGTCTGAAGGCGGCAAGGAAGGTGAGAACCTGAACCCGAGAGCTCTCCGTGGTTTCATCCTGCTTAGCTGTGATTTCCAGAGGCTCAGCTTTTTGTCTGGGTTCATGGAGTACTTGCTTTTCATTTTTCATGAAGTATATTTTTATGTCCTTTTGTCTAGGTACTACCAAAGTATCAAGATACAGCTAAAGTTAATATTGTTCTGAAAAAGATAGCTTTGATGGTACCAACAAAGAAAATAAATAAAGTTGGATTTTTCTTCTAAGGAATTGTAATCCATTCCTCTATATTATTTCTTTAAAATTCTACTGCCATTTTCCTCCACAGCGATTTAAAAAGATCTATTCAGGAAATAATGCATTAAAATATTCTGTGATAAACTATTTAAATGACCAAATTTGAGTCAGAAAAGTCACTATATTTGAGATTTTTTGACTAGGATATGACCTATACATACTTCATCATTTTGACCAAGTATTTAATAGAATAATGAGCTTATTATTATCCAACAATCATAAAGAATGTAACTTATAATTACTGTTTATCAAATAATTTTAAAGCAATGTTATTCAATATATTGTATTTAAAAAATCCAATTAATATAAAGTAATTAAATTAAAAAATACCATTATTTAATCACCTGAGAGTACTAGGCATTTATAAATAATGCCCAACTAATTGTAATCTATAAAAATAAGTTTTATAAATCCTTATTACTTCTATTGTAAATCATTGTCAAGCAAACACATTTAGACTTATTAAAGGGAGATGTACATTTGGAATAAAATTTTAATATTTAATATTTCCTACCCTTTAAATTTATTTCAACTTCGTATGCAGTTTAAAATTTGATTTGTTTATATACAGATATGATACCTGCATATTGATAAATAGTGCTTCTATATACTACTACTTTACAAACAATATGTAAAATATCTGCATTTACTACTGTGATTTTTTGAGTTTAAAAATACATTGCTTTGGGACCAGCAGTTGGCATAATGGCTATGTCGCTGGACTCCCACGTAGTCGACCGTGGTTTGAGTCCTGGACCCAGTGGCTTAAACTCAATCAGGGTGTGTATGCATGTGTGTCCAAGATCCTGAGTGGAGAATGGAGAAGGGATTGTGGCATGGCCACCCCCCCTCTCAGAGGTGATTTCTCACTTTCTGTCTCTCTGTCTCTCTCTGTCTTTCTGGCGAGTGCACGTGCCCTATAGCAAAAACCTCTCAAAAAACAAACAGAAACCATTGCTTTAACTGATGAATGCAGCATTTCTGATATTTAAGATATCACCGGGCCTCTCTCAAGTTCCTTTTTACTATATAGTTGTATGTACTACACATAGTTGTTCCAATAATATCACTGGTATTTACTCTGGAAAGAGAAAACACTCTAGAGACAAAAAGGCATTATTTATATTACCTGAAAGTATGTGAATTGAGAATGATAGAGATCTGGATATACATGAAGAGTAGTTCCAATTACGAGAAGTAGCTCAAATTTGTGGAGAGATGAGCTGATATATCCAGTAAACCCCAGACACCATATCTTCAGAAGTGCTTCCAAGTCAAAAAGTACTGTAAAAGCTACCTAGAGAAACAAAAGGACATTGAGACTGAAATCCAAAATTTAATTTATTTCATAAATTCAATGCAAGAATTTTAGCAATTCTCAAATAAACCAAAGAACCCACAAGGTAAAGGATGGCATTTTATCTTTAATAATGGATTTGAAAGGGACCAGCAGATGGCATAATAGTTACATCACTGAACTCCTACATGGCCGACTGTGGTTCAAATCCCAGACCCAGTGCTTTAGCCTATCACCCAGTGAGAATCCATGTGCATTTGAGGTGGGCCCAGCTCTGCTCCTTTAACTGAAGAGCCTCTGCCCCAAACTTTTCCTTCCAGTTGAACACCTAGCAAAATGAAACATTCTCTGTCTTCTTTTTGTCTCTGTCACTCTGTCTCACTTTTCTCTGGAAAAATTTCTTAATTTTTAAAAAATATGTCTCTGACCTCTCCTTTATCTTACTAATTTCAGAATCCATGTGCATCTAAGGTAGATCGAAGCACACCCCATGGTTTTCATTTTTTGCCTTTTTTTAAAAAAAATCATTTTTCCCTTTTTTCCCTTTTTCTTTTCTGTATTTTTGTCTTTGTTCTCTTTTGTCTGACTTTTTCACTTTGCTTTTCAGCTTCACACACTGAGTATCTAGATAGGCCTAGGTGCACAGTAGTGAAACATCTGAATACTTTTAGGGTCATAGAAAACCTCCACCCCCACTGAGCTATTACAGTTTGTTTTTTGCCATAGGGCATGTGCGTTCGCTCACCAGAGAGATAGAGAAGGGAAAGTGAGGAATCGCCCTTCTCTTCAACTTTTCTCCTGAGATTTTGGGCACACACATACTCATGCCTGGTGTGATTTGCAAGCTGTCAGGTCTGGGACTTGAACCTTAGTCAGTCATGTGAGAGTCTAGCACCTTAACTGCCATACCACCTGCTGGCCTCTAAAAGCCTGATATTATTTAAAAGCTGTCGATATTTATAGAATTGCATACACAGAAAGGCTACACTTTTTGTGTAAATTGTACTTTCCCCTTTTCATTATTTAATAGTAAATCTTGAAATAAAGTAGTGTGGAGTCTTCCAATTTTCTTCTTTATCAAAATCATTTTAAGCTTTGATCCTTTACACATCTATTTAAATTTTAGAATAATTTTATCACTTCTTACAAAAAAGCTTGCTGAGATTCTAATCAGGATAATGCAAAATCCATAGATCAATTTGAGGGAGAATGGACATTTTGATATTGGTCTTCCAATTCATCAACAAGGCATATGTGTATATCTTTTAGGTCTTATTTGATTCTCCTCACTAATACTTTGTAGTTTTAAATTTATAGGTCATGTGCTTATTCTGTAAAATTTCTCCCTAAGTATTTTATATTTGAGGGATGCTATTGCACTTTTAGATTATTTTGATTTTACTTTTAATTGTTCAGTGCTGGTATTAGGGACACAAAATGCAGTTTCATATATTGGTTTTGTGTCTGAAAGTTTCTTAAGCTCACTTTTAATCCTAGTAGGTTTTTGAAGTTTCCTTATAATTTCTCGGTAAATGATTATATCATTTGCTAGTAAAGGCAGTTTCACTACTTGCCTTCTAGTTCATATTTTCTTTATTTCAACCCTCATGGGTGATAGATGTGGGAGCCAGACAGGCCTCATGTCCAGTTATGCCCTCTATTTTTCTTGATTTATTGCATTGTCCTGGACTTGAATTACAGTGTTAATAGTGTATTTTCTTTTTTAAAATTTTTTATTTATTTCTTGAGAAGAAGAGAGAGCAGAGAGCAAGCGAGTGATGAGAGCTGCTCTCATCACACCAAGATTGCCTTCCAGCCAGCCAGGATCATGAGCACACCTGCAGTGTGTCTACTGTAGTCAGATCGACCTGGGACCTGAACCCAGGGCATTCCTACGTGACTCCAGCTTTTCACAGTGGGAACTTAACAGAAGTGCTACCTGGCTGAGCCATAGATTGTATTTTCTACAGGTCAAGTTTCAATACTGTACATGGTATATTATAAAGTGATAACTTTTAAATTTACTAACAATAATTTAATGACAATTTAAAAGTTAAAATAATGTGTATTCCTCTATTCTTTGAGCTATGAGACAAGGAAAGAATTTGGAATTCTACACTAAGCAATTTATGTATGTGCATGTGTGTATGCACACATAAATCAATATAACTACATTATTAACAAATAAAATCAGTAGTACAATAATTCAACCTTTTAACATCACATAAATCGTCTTAATTTACAACTACAAGTAGAAATATTACAAATGCATATATAAAAATAGCATGTTATTTTCCTTTCCCTGTCTTATAGACAAGAATTTTCATTTTCTCATTTTATAAAGAAGGGCACAACTGGAATTAAAATATACAAAGTAAGATTAACTGCTAATTAAAGAACACAAGGGTAAGTTTGGGATTAGTCATAACATATCCTCTTAGAAGATATTGCATAATTTATTGGAAGACAGGAATAAAAGGCGAGCTTGCTTTCTTTTTCTAGGCTATATCAGATATGGAATATCTGAAGGGATTTTCTTTCACTCACATTTGGAAAATGTGGAGAAAAATGGAGTTTTAGTAATAGCATTTTAAGAAAGAGAACATTAAAAGCAATGCAGATGGCTAATTTAGATGTGAGGAGAAAATTGGCATTCCTTCTCAAATCTATCATTTCTATAGGTTCTAGTTGCTTTTTAATTTTAATTGGCATTCCCTTCCTAAAAGAAACTAATGCATTTTAACTTTGAAATAATCTTAAATACAGAAGAAAATGCTAAGAAACACCATCGCCCACTGCTCTCAGGTGTTTCACGCTAACCTCTTTGTCTGTTCCCTCCTCAGTGAACTCGATCCTCATCCACACATGTGCAATCGCATAAATGGGCCTGAACTTCACGTGTCACTCTGCAACTTGTTTTCTCACTTTGTAGGAATCACGGGTATCCCTCCATACTAGGGGATAGAGGTCCTTCTCATACTTGCTGCATGATTTCCCATGGTGTTCAATGTTTACTCAACACTATCTCTAATTCAGTGAGAGGTGGTACTTGGAAGAATCGTCAGGAAATTTAAAACAAAACAAGTCTACAGCAACCTTCTTTATGAAATATCAACATTTATAGAATCTTCCATCTGTAAATTTCCAAGCTTAGTATTGCTGGTGCAAAGGCAGATTTCAAATAGGTCTGTTTAAAGTTTTAGAAAATATTAAGAGATTGCTTTCAAAATATTGTAATAAATAATTTGCCTTCCAGCATTGTAGGAAAGTTTCTCTTGGTCCCAATCTGTATTAATACCAATACAGTCAAATGTATTAATTGTTTCTCATCTGTCTATACGTGTATTGATCATCAGATTTTATTTCTTTTAAAGTAATTAAATGCTGCTCTTCATAACCTTGCCAATATTTTATTGTGCTATTTTGTCTTTCTTATCTTTGGAGTTGTTGATATTGAGGACATTAATCTTTGTCTGCTATGTGTACTGCAAATATTTTTCCCTAGTCAATAGTTCGGTTTTAACTGGTGTTCTTTGCTCTATGAAAATAAATTTTACATGATCATATATGTGTATCTTCTATCATTATATATATATTTTCTTTACCTTTACAAACAAAATAGGACTTGAAGAGGATTACTGTTAAGTCTCCATATGCAGAAACACATTATTTTTTTCTACTTATTTGGACTATATTGTACAGTCTTCAATAAAAATTTCCTATATATATATATATACATATATATATGTGTGTGTATACAGATACATAGATAGACAAATAGATATCCCACATATCGATATTTATCTTTTAAAAATTTAAAGAGAGAGAAAGAGAGAGAATATCTTCTAGGGAGGATGGTCATACTGCAACTGCAATCCTTTATCTTCCACTCTCTCATGACTTTAGGCATGTGCAGTTTTTCAAGCTGCCAGAGCCAGAACTTGAACTGTACAGACTGCTTTGTGGGATCTAGTTGTCTTAACTACCCCTTCACTATCTGGCTTTTTTTTTTTTTTTTTCATTTCTACTTAGTTCAAGTGGAGAGAAAAGTCATTGATGTAGACTGAATGTCCATATCAATCTTACTATATTTTTCTATGAATCCTAACATTTTATTTAAAACATGGGTTTTATAAAAAATATGCACATTTCATTTATTAATTTTTTTTCGAGAGGTTTTTGCTATAGGGCATGTGTGCTAGCCAGAGAGACAGAGAGAGACAGAGAGACAGAAATTGAGAAATCATCCCCCAGGGGGGATGGCCACGCTGCAATCCCTTCTCCTCCATTCTCCTCTCGGGATCTTGGGCACTCACGCACACGTGCCTGGCATGAGTTTAAGCCACCAGGTCCAGGAATTGAACTGCGGTCGACTACATGGGAGTCCAATAACAGCCATTACGCTAACTGCTGGTCCCAATATGCACATTTCATTTACAAATAAAGGAAAGTTATTTCTTTTCCAAGATTGAATTTTGGAGCTAATCATATTACTGTATAGTTTTAATGATACAGTTGTACAGTAGTTACTGAATAATGAAGTAATAATAAAAAGATTCCAGTTAAGGTGGCTGGATACCACATGCCTGACTTTGTGGTTCAAGTCCTGAACACAGAAGCTTGAAAAACATGCTAGCTGTGCATGCGTGTGTGCCCAGAATTTCAAGATGAGAATTGAAGAGATGGGATTGCAGTGTAACCATTTCTCTCTGGGGGAGGGAGATTTTCACCCTCTCCCCACCTCTCTGTCTCACGCTAGCACATGAATGAGCCCTATAGCAAAACTAAAAAACAAAACAAAACCTCTATTTTGTTTCTTATTTTCAATGAAAGTTTCTTCAGCATTCATATAAAGTGGTTGCCATGGGTCTTGGTAATGAATTTCTACCATGTTTAAGAACCTTTGTTCTCTTCCTATTCTACTTTTAAGGGCTTAACATTCAATTCATTGAGGTAGTGACATATCACAAGAACTCTTGATATTGACCATTTATTTGTTT